TATTTATTTATTTATTTATTTATTAAATAACGACCATTATACTTTATTTTTAGCAATCAAATTTTTCTGATATTTTAACAAATCTTTGACAGGTATGGGTCTGGGATCTGCAGCATCCGCAGCTATAGGTGGAGCAATGCTTACGCTACAAGCAGGTATGGTAAGTGCTGGCGTTGTTGCTATACCTGTTTCCCTTACTGCTTTACTGGCTATATGGGCTTATGTATATTACAGACCTAAAGTTCATACCTGCCTTCGTCAGCAACGCAAGAAGTTACCTTTTCCTCCCGAATCTGACTAATCACTCAAAACTATTGAAAATTAAGAACTGACAATCTAAATTAGCAACTTCAAATTACATAAGCTTTGATGTTTGTAACAATCGTGGGTTTTTGCCGGAAGATAACTGTAGAAACAAGTTTCAAGCAAAATTATTGTTGGAACACAAGTCAGTTCGTAGTAAAATCAAAACATACCTTGTTAGCGAGTGCTGAACTTTTGGTTCCATAACATGATTCAGAGCAGATATTTCTAATACAAACTCAATTCATAGGTTAGAAAAACAACTGGAAATGAAGAAGAAACTCTCCAATCATTATCTCTTCTAGCTCTTCTTACTCATTCAATTCCATTTGTTAGTGTCTTCACTTTGCTAATAATCACATTAATGGTTCATTTATTTGTGTACAACTCACGTGACTTATACACATTAGATAGGTAGAACCTTTCTAAATATTATCGAGGATTTAATTACTTCTTTAAAATGTCAAGTATTCCAATATCAAATGGTTGATCAACCGCAAGAACTGGAAATGCCGGAAACGACTTTTCCGTAACTTCCAGAAATCAGCTTCTCTCTCGTTGTTGTGAGGAACATATAGAAGTGATAATTTCCATAAAAACTGTATTGCAATGTTTCATCACTAACTGACTTGACAATATATTCACGTACACCTCTTTTCTTTTTAAAATTTCCACATAAGCTTATTCTTTCAGTGTTCCTTATCAAAAAATTCAAAGGCCAAAATCTACTTCCAGATCATATTTCAAATTGCTTTTGTCATGACCGAAAAGGCAGGGATACAGCGCAAAATCTTCTGAAGTGAGTCTGAGTCAAACACGGATGAGTTAATATATTAAAACATTAAGAGAAAACGCAAGGATTGCACTATGGAAATGAAAATCTTTTTTTCCGTTAACATTATACATAAAAGGGGATTATGTTGACAAAGAGCACATCTCACAATGTGTCGACACCATAAAAAGTCTACATGAACAAATGAGAAGCAAAATATTTAAGTTTGAAAATGCTGGGATGAATCAAAAACAAAAAGAGATTGATATTCAAATATGGAACTATTTGTATAAGGCATTGAATCGGAAATAAAACATCATATAAAGTAACAGTCACTCACTGAAAATAAAAAAAGTAAAAACATTTTGTGACTTCATTAGCAACAATATTTGAGATCACTCGAGCCGAATATAGATTTATTTCGTCAAAACTATTATTGAAAACACCACAAATTCAAACTTTTTCTGATACAAATTATTACGACAGCAGATGCGATATATATGAAAATTGTATGAAGTCTAAATAATTTTGATCGCATTTAATCATGATTAGAACAACTTGATTTGAAGCATATTCTTTCTTACTTACACAGGGTTCTCATATTATTCCAATTTCTGTCAGAGGAAATAGTGATAACATATTAATAAGCTTATACTGTTTTGCTCATGCTTCACAATAATGAAAAAAGTACATGGAAAATACATAAATACATAAATGAGACAATCAATTTTATTTCCGTAAAAAATGATAGAAGGAAGTCAAATCTTGTGAACTGCATGTGCAACCATTTAAGTAAAATAATCAATGCAAAATGCCAATAATAAGCAATAAGCACTACCAAATACAAAACAGACAGATACAGGCATAAATGCACATACGCAAATCGTACAAATGCATTAATTAAGAAATTAGAATACCTGCAACATTTGTATAATCTATTTTAAATTTATGAGATGTTGACAAATAATTTCGTCATTTATGTTTAGAGATTACGTCTAGTATCAAAAATATGATTTGAATTCTTCCATTCAATAACAGAAAATATAGCAAAGGAATAACGTATTTTTCAATAATTTTTGAACAGTCGATCTGCCACATTTTCAAAAGAACCACGAAAAGAGTTGAAAAAAGTGGACACTCTAATGAAACAAGATCACAGAATAGAGATTTCCTGTATGAAAGCAAAAAATGGGCAGATAAAGAGATCGATCAATGGAACATGGCCTCATTGTCTTGCCTTGTATTGTTCATCTCATTTTCAAGCAAGCAGTGCCAATCATTTCTGCGTTGTGGATCTTGATTGAATGAGCTTTCGTATGGTGGGGGAGCTAAAACTGCAAACTCAATTAATCAATTGATTATATGTATATTATATAAATATATATATATATATTTTTTTGATTTTTGATTAGCAGAAGAATTAGCCTATGCTTCTCTAACTACATAATGTTATTGTAGATACCGCGCCCATTGTACCCGGATGACAGCAATTCTGAAGCAGGAGAAAGCTCATTACACGTTTTTGGCAATTACTGTGTTCTATCTAAAGACTAAGTACAACCTCGCAGAAAATCCTGCCGCTGAAAACGTATTAGCAACCCAGAAGCGTTGCGAAATAGAAAAGAAAACCCACCATGCAAAGCTATACAAGATGCGGACGAATAAATCTCGTCCACAG